CTCTGGCTACACAAAATGGCTGCTACTGTGCACAAGTCTGCGGCGGCAAATCGGCAAATTCCTTATAATTTGCAGAATCGGAGACAAGTTTTAGACTTTGTTAAGACTCGCGCTTGTAGCAAAATGGTTATTTATTAAAACATGAGTACGAAATTGATAGCGTAAATGCTTTGACAAATACACGACAATTAATAAGCAAATTCGACTTTGAGGAAAACTATAAAAACTATGACAAATAAAAAACTAAAACTTGTGTCTCCTTCTGCTCCTTCTTCTAGCGATGATAAACGGCGAGTGAAAATGATCGGTGTTAGCTGCAGTTCTGACAGCTTGACAAAATGTAGTGCTGCCACATGTTAAGTTCGTTTTAGTAGTCGTTCACATTCCACCTCCTGGCGGATCTTCCGGGGATTCGCAAATTCTTAAAGCGGCTAGCTGTCGTATGGGCCGACGGATATTCCCGCGCGCTGTGATGACATTGGCACTTCTGACTCTGCCGTCTCTCCCTTGAAATATTTCCGCGATTCTGCCCTTTTCCCAATGGCTTCTCGGAGCTGAAGGATCGCAAACCACCACTAGTGTCCCCGGCTCTATTGATTCGACCTCGTCTCTCCATTTGGAGCGACAAAGAAGGCGTGGTAGATACTCCCGTGTCCACCTTTTCCAGGCTCTGTCCTTGAGATTTTGAGCGATCTTCCACTGCTTCCGAACGCAAAGCTGCTCCTCATCCGGATGCGGAGTTTGTGTGGAATTTAAGCAACCTAGTAAAAAATGGTTTGGTGTGAGGGGTTCCTCCTCTTCCGGCGATACTGGTAAGTCAGTTAATGGACGACTGTTGATGATGTTCTCTATTTCAATCATCACACTGCGGAATGTCTCCATTCTTGGTGCTTCTTCTTTAAAAACCTTTTGTAGGAGTCGTTTGGTGCACTGGATTAGTCGTTCCCAGCAGCCCCCACTACTGGGATCTGCGGGACAGTTGAACACCCATTCAATTTTATTCTTAGACATCTCCCGACCGATTGCTTGGAAATCGAACATCCTCTCCGACTCCTTCATCTCCCTCTGTGCTCCAACAAAGTTAGTGCCATTGTCGCTTCGAATGCGTATGGGCACCCCTCGACGATTAACGAAATTTCGAAGGCATATGATGAACGCATCTGTGGAAAGACTTTCAGCCAACTCTAGGTGCACTGCTCGAGTCGTCATGCATGTAAACAATGCAATCCATCGTTTTTCTCTTCTGCGCCCGATAGTGACGTAGAACGGACCGCAGTAATCAACTCCGCTGTATGTGAAGGGTCGGACGTAAGGCGTTAGACGGTCTTTGGGTAGCTGGCCCATCAATGGTGCTGCTGGTTTTGCTCTGTCGTATATACAAGTCGGGCAGTGTTTCTTGACCGACTTCACAACTCTGCGAATGGCGGGGATCCAATATCGTTGTCGAATTTCGTTTATTGTCAAACATTCGTTTAGGTGGTGTCGTTTTCGGTGATGTTCAGCTACAATTAATTTTGTGACATAATTGTCTGTCGGCAAAATAATCGGGCGGCGTGCAGAAAATGGTAGGCAGTATGCTGCGTCTATTCTTCCGTAGACTCGGAGTAGACCTTCTTCATCTAAGTACGGCGTTAGCGGATGTAGGCTGCTATTCTTTGGCAGGGCAATCTTCTTTCTCAGCAGATCGATTTCGTTTTTGTAGGCTTGTTGTTGTACTATGCGGCATATTTGCTTTTCAGCGGCAGTCAGTTCATCGGCTTGCAGTTCTTCTTTGCGTACTTCCTTTCTTGCATTGCTGATAAAACGCAATACCCAGGCCACGACTCTTACTAGCGTCAGAAAGGAAGAAAAATTAGTAAAGTTGATTAATGGCTCACCTGCGGTACAGAGAAGAAGCTTTCGACCGGTGAGCTCCTCGTTGGCACATTCGACGGATGACAACATGGGTTCTCGCGGCCATTGTCCCTCTTGCTGATACAAAAACTCTGGTCCACGTAGCCAACGGGTGTTTATTGAAGGCTCAGGAATCGGTACGGCA